CCCACTTCAAAAGGCATGATGGCACCAGGAAGGCAGCAGACAACCTGAAAACATTACACTTAAGATTTATTATGGTTTTATTTTTAACCCTGCAGACATTTACTCAACCCCCAAGTGTGGAAAGAGCCTAGCAACTAGTGGGGACATACTATTTACAAATATTAATCATACCCCCAGCCAGAAAACCAAATTAGCTTCCTCCTCTGCCTTCCCAGGGAACAAATTGGAAGAAAAATTAATAGATAATTTTTTGCTTTTAAAACATCCGCATTTCTGTCGTTCTGGAAAAACACTATTTTGCTCACCATGCTAGGCCCTTTGGGGGCCTTGGCCTCTGGCAACTGCTGGAACATCATTTCCGAAAGCTTGCAGCTCTGTGGGAGGAAAAACACAATAAGTTGTTTTAATATTGTACTGGAAATAATGCAACGCAAATGCTCAGCCCAAATGTATGCCCAGAATGAATAAAAATCCCACCTACCCTCCATGGCCCTTATGCGTTGTTTAAGACCCCTTGATCCCCTTTCCCATCTCTGCAGCTATCTGCCATGAGCATAATGGAGGGACACAAGGAATCAAATGGATTGGTAGGAACCATCAGCTAACCCATGCTTGCTCTCAGTACCCAAGAGAGAGAAGAAAATTTTCGTTTGGGGGGGGTTTGTTGTTGTGCCTACAGTTACAAATATTAGCTGTCACGATTTTGGTTTGAGTGAGTCCTGCAGTTGGGCTTACAATTGCGAAGAAACTATGAGTTTTATTAATGCATACTTTTGAAAGTTAACCCTGAGATATTCCTTTGCCCACCCCCAAAAAAAAACATGGACCAGCTACTTATCTTTCCTGCCTTCTATAGTCCTCCCTACTGTCTGCTTCTTGCTTCTAAAACCACCCACCCTCAAAAAGCCCTGCATGTCCCTTTCTTCCACAGCCATAGTCTCCACCAGCAGTGTCTGAATTGAGGGGGAGTAACTGGCCCAGCAGTGAAGTGAGGACTGACTGGAGATTTTCTCCATTGGTACCAGCTTCTGCTCGATAGAACGATGCATAGCTTGCTTGTCGTTGAGGCCTTCTTTCTCGGCAACAAAAGACATCATGAAATATGGAGCAGAAATGTCGGACATGAGTCGTCATTTGTAGGTTTTTAAATGAGCCCCTTTTTTATAATCAGGTAAAAACAACACCCAGAATGTTTCAATGGCCTGATGCCGTTCTTTATTTCATTAAATCCTTTACCTGAATCCAGATTTTTTAAGGAAGTGGCTTAAATTTCATTTTTGTGCTTCAGCTCATAGGCCTTTTTCCTTTAGTATTTTTATTGGGAGGCTAATGTGATGAACTCTAAACTGAAAAATTGAGCTAGGAAGTAGTTTGTTGCAAATAGGACTGTTTAGGGTAATGAGAGGTAGTTAGCTGTCTTAGTCCAAAGTCACTCAGAAGGCAAGGCAGAGTGGCACCTTAGAAACTAACTGCTGCAGAGAGGCATAAGCTATTTAACCCTCCTTTGCCTCTCTCACCAGTGCCGCTACCCTATTCAAATCCCCATCTTTGTAGAACCCCTAATTTCTGCAAGTCCATTTATAGCATTTTGACGAGCAGGCTGTGGCCTCTGGAAGCTTATGCCTCTCTGAACCAGTTAGTCTCTAAGGTGCCACCCTGCCTTCTGTTTAGGATAACAGATGTGATGTTGTAAAGATGTCCCTTTTAGTCGCATGTACCATAGATATGCCTTTCCCAGAAGATGTTCTTTAAATGCCTGTATTTTTAGATTAATGAATGTTCTCTGCTAAAATTTATTGTCCCACAATACTGTGCTCTACTTAAATTTTGGATGAGTTTATACATGCATCAGTAGGCTAAATTGCAACCTTTCTCCCATGAATATGTTGAAGGCATGGTCTGTGCAGAGCAGTAGTGGATGAGTGGAAATGCTTTGTTGTGTTCTGTCCAAGTAGGACTTAAGCAGGCAGAATGCCTCAGAGTGCTGAAAGTCGTGTGTGTTGTACCGTATCTCTTCTGTCTGGTGGCAAAAGTACAATATGTTCTGATCATGTAATTGCTGTAAGAGACTGGCAGACGTGTTGGGGAACGGAGATCTGAATGACTATGCACCCTGTGACCCAGGAGCATGCTTGGATATGATAACTGGTTACCCCCGTCTTCACGGCTGGGGAATTGTAGGGTAGGTCTTGTGCAGAGATGCCCATGTGTGAATTTGGGAAGCCATCCAGCCAAGGCAGGAGAAAGGTTGCAATTCAGTGTAATTTATCCTTCTTCTCAGTGAACGAGGAGAGCCCAAAAACTTCAAGAGATCAAGCTCAGGGAAATTAGCATTATCATTTGTACATTACTTAATAGCCTGATTTTGTCATTACTCTTCTCATGGCCTGTATCAAGGCACAGTTCTTGCTCTATAATCAGATAATGAATGTTGGCCCCAGAGCAGCATTTTTCTTGGCAGAATACATGAACCTCCATGCTGCCACAGCCAAATGACTTCCAGAATCCACGCTACTCTATTTAAGGCTGCCCTGGATAGCTCTATACTATAATACAGCCTGTAATATGGATATACTCCCAGTGCAGTACCCCATCTGGATCATGGGAGCTAGTGGAGTGGAGGAAAAGGAGGGCAGTAGAGTTCCAGTAGTGCTCAAGAATAAGAAAAGACCTGAGATATTATTTCTATTTGAATCCTTTTTGACCAGTAGCAGAATTGCTGATTCCAATTTCCAGCAGAGGTCTGTTTAGCCTGGGACCATATTTTTATCGGTACTTGCTTATCTCAATCAAATAAATCAGGGCCTATCTACTACACACAGCTCGCCTGGAGCAACTTTCAATTTTATTTTCCCCACTTCTTGCAGGACATATTTTATTCTATTTTTGTAATTTATGCATTGCACAATAATGAGTACATCAAACTGTACACCATAAAATAAAACTGGATACAGTACATCTCAGCAATATGGCAGGAGAGACCACAGTAATGCCTCCTGCCTACTAATTGTGGGTAAAATTGTATGAATCAGTAGAAATCCACATTTCCAGTTTTGTTTTTTATACTTTGGGTACTGAAATCAAAGGGGTCTGGCAACAAGAATTTTTTCTTGTGGACTACCTTTAGCTTTGATGTGAATTTTCTACGCATATAAATCTTTTCATTCTTACATGCATAGTGGGAAAGCTCACCTGTAAAACATATGTTATGTCTCAAAAGTGGACAATTTGCAACAGCTTCCAAATAGATCATTAATATTCTATTATGATGGCAAAAGGTTTGCTAATGTATTTGAAAACATGCAACTATGTAAGCTTGTAAATAAATTTAAAAAAATAATTTATCTTGTGTTACTTGTTGAAAGCATTTTTAAATGGCAGTTAATTAAGCTTCAGTTTATCCCGCCTCATTTGGCTATATCAACATAATATAGGTGAGGAATTTGAGCAAAAGAATAATTTCCCAAGATCATGTGCAGTTAGTGACAAAGCCAGAATTTGAATCCAGGGTTCTTCTCTCCTAGCCCCATTGTGTAAACTTGCAGGTTACCCAATTGGGATATGGCAAGCACTTGCTGGTTTGGGGGGGAAATAGTTTTAATTAAAATATCAGTCAGTTAAACTTAAGTTTCTGCTGCCACAGGTTCATTATGCCAAGTTAATAATAACCATCCCTTTCAGATCCTGATTTGAAACGTAGCACATAAGTATAAAGTACATTGTTGTGTTCCCCTCTACTCCTCCCGCTTATTTTGAGCTCTCAGAACCATTGTACAGGGAAATTGCAACACATGATTCTCAAGTTAACTTTATTTTTAAGCCCTGAAGTATCTTATGGTCTGTTAGAGGCATGGTTTTTCCTCATGCTGTATTCTTGGGTTTCCCTGATTCCTGGCAAGTTTTACATCTGTTTGAAAGTTAGGTGGGGATGTTGCACATCTTGTAGTCAAGACCTTTGGAAGAGCAAGAAGAGACTCAGTTTAGATGGATTTATTCTGCTTCGCACAAGAACATCCTGATCTGCATCTTGCAAACAGTCTTGGAGAACATGACAACTTGTAGCGTGAATGGTGAAATATAACAGAAGTCACGTTGTGTGTACAAAATGACCTGAAAAACACTGCCATCTCATCATACATATATCATATTTGTTAATCTGAAATGGAAAAAATATTTGAAAGCAGAAAGATAACACATTTAGAATACAGTGCTTTTTTGCTTGACTGCAGTCTAAATTCCCTATGTTTTTGAGCTCTGTAACTATGCTATTGCCAGGGATGTGAGGTGGGGCTCTCATGGAGCAGAACCCTCTCAGGAACTAGAAGGAAGAGATCTTCTTGAAACCCTTGATTCTCAACATGATAGATGGGGCTCTGACCCTTCTCTCTGGATCTGCATGAGGAATCCTACAGCCTTAGCACAACAATTCCCAGCACAGTGGCAAACATGTAGAGCAGGGGTTAAGCCCAGTATCTACATAGCTCTCTGGTTCCCAAAATCCCAGTTGTCTATTCTCACCTGTATTTGAACCAAGTCCAACCCCTCCCCACCCCCAAATCAGCCCACTGTGTTGTCTTTATACTTTTACAAACACACTGGGCTGCTGTGTACCTTGTTGCCTCTCATGCCTGGGTCAGGGTTTCATCCTGTCACTCTGGCTACATTACTTTCCCTTTCTCTGTGTAAAATGAAGAGGATCATACTTTATTTTTTTTAATCACATGTTACCTCATAGGGATTTACTGTTAAGTGCTTTGAAATGGTAAAGCTCTTTTGCAAGCGTTAAATGTCATCATGTCACTATGTGAAATGAACACTGAAACATCACCCGTTTTTATGTAGCAAGATCATTGCTATGAAAATTACCTTTTATGTAAGAGTTGGATCTAAGTTACATTTTTATGTGGAGATTTTGAATGTTTAGTCTCCTCTCTTTAAAAACAAAAACCAGAAAGGCTGTAAATTGTTATGCAAGTCATTTTTTGTGTGATGTTTTTCAGATATTGAGACAAGTGAAAAAATCCAGAAAAGTGGGATTCTCCAGGTGTTTGCAAGTCTGTTGACTCCACAGTCTTCCAGCACGGCAAAAGTAGCTAACATCATAGCAGAAGTAGCCAAAAATGGTGAGGTTTTCCACAAGAACTTTTCTGCTGGAACATCTTCAGTTTTGCACCTCACTTGTCAGTATGTTTTACTTCATTTATGTTTTCATTTTGTAAATTAGATATTTTTCATCTCTCCCTTTTCTGTTTTTGTCTTGTCAATATTTTGTTACCACTAGATTTCTTTAGTGCTCATTTATCCATTTGCTAATATGTCAAAGCAGCATTTGGTCAATGGAATATTAGTCTTTATTTTATTCTGTTTGTTAATGTTTTAAACAACTAAAATGCATTGTATTGAGTAAAATATTAAGGCATAGACTTTCAGTAATATATATGAACATGATAATAGATTTCTGTGTAGATGTTGTGCATAACCATGGGACTCCCATTGGCTGCACAGCCCAGAGTCAATGTCAGGCTCTCTTTAAAAGATTTGGCAAGAGGGATGGCCAGACTTTCAAAAAATAGGAGCCTTGATGCCAGAGCTCACATTCGTCTGCTGTGGGTTCACCTGCTTCTTGATGATGTGAGAGCTCCTAGTCCTCAAACAGTTAACAAGGATGAAGCATCTTGAGGAGCTGATGGGGGACAGGGTCTTTGAGAGCTACCCTCCCCAATGAGCAGGACTGCCTGTGGGATGCGTGGCAGAATGCCGCCTCTCTCTCCCCAAAAACTCTGCCCTGTGACAATGGTTAACATGGTCCCTGCAAAGGGCAGACATCCCATCTCTTTAGGTAACCCGAGTTGGATATATTCCTGAGGGAGGGGGGAAACCTGCTCCCTCTGCCTATGTAACTGGCATCACATACCTGGGTGAGGGGCTTGAGCTCCCTTTTGTTCTGAGCAATGCCAGTCTACCCAGCAACCAGTGATGCATTTCAAATTGGTTGGCTAGCAGCCAACAGGTGCTGGTCTCCATTGGACCAGGTAAATGAGGTCAGAAGGTCTATATAAATTAAGGACTGCCCAGGAGGAGGTGCAGTAGCCATGATGAAAAAACTGAGAGAGAGAAGCTGGACCATCTGAAACTTGCTTCCTCTCTTGAAACTCATGATCAGGAAACTGCCTGCCTCCAGAGGTACTCTCCACCTGCCTCTGGATGATACTTGTGAGTAAGCTACCTGAGATCTAACTAGATATATAGCTTACAGTAACCCAGATGCGAGATCAAAGGCTACCCAGCTGTGCCAGTTTGCTCTGTGGGATTTCTCTGATATTGCTCTACCCTGTACCCTATTCCAACCCTACTCCTTGTAACCAATGAAGTTCTCCTTTGTACCTAGCGTAGAAGACTTATTGGGAGTGGGTCTAGATTATGCCTTGGGGTCCCTTTGGTTCAGCTGACTAAGGGAGACCACTGTTTGTGCTTCAGACTGAGGAAAGCACGCCAAGTTCTTGAAGTGGGTCGAGTACCCTCAAGGGCTACTAGGCCTGTGTTTCCCAGAGGATACAGAGCCAGGATCAGTCCAGACCCTGGGTGGTGGTGGCATTACCCCCAGGCTAGCGGGTGTCCTCCAGGAAGGGGGTCGGCCAGACATGAGGCAACCCCAGGGAGGCACTCAGAGCCTGGAAGGTGGTCAGGTGTAGTGAGGTGGGTGGCTCAGTGTAGGAGCACCCCATACTGGCCTGCCGCAGGATGCCAATGGACTCCAAGTAGAGTCCATTCAAAAGAAGTAGTGGGACCTCAGTGTGTGGGCAAGGTCATGCCTGCTAAAGGAAAGGCAGAGGCAGGCAAGATGGGAAGCTTTGACTGGGAGCTTACTACCTGCACATTGTGGATTCCATCCAGAAGCCAGTTGGGTTCCCTGGTTCAGTGTCTCTGAAAGGAGAGATGTGAGATGAGGTAGGTACTGCAAGGGGCTTGGAAGTGACCTCCTGCCTCAGTTTTCCTCATAGGCTCAAAACACAGCACATGATGCAGCTGGAAGAGGGTCACGGAGCACCCCATGCGGAAGCACAGTCTTACTCAGCAGCTTCTGCACTGGAGAAAGAGTTCATTAGCCAGTCCATCTGGCCAACCACACCAACCACATTTTTCTGGTTGCATTGGGCTATAGATGGCTACAGCTACCTATTAGAATGGCCATAGCCACATAGAGACCTTACATAGCTAGAAACCACTAGTTACCTAGACACACAGGGGACTTATGTGGCTACATGTTGCTGTGTAACAAAGAGAGTTGTAAAAGGGCTAAACATTACTTGAGTGAAATTAGATCCATACCTGTCACAATATTTGAGCATGGGAAAGAAATGAAATTGGTCTTGCAGATGGGAGCCAATTCTTGAACCCCCAAAAAGGGAAGAGAAGGGGAGACGTATTTGAATTCTCATACTCCTCAACTGGCTCCATTCTCATACTCAGAGTTACAGAGAAGAGTTATAAACTGCAAATAGCTCTGCCCCTAGGAGGAACCAAGAAGTAGAGGGAAGGGTGTTTCTCATCTGCTGCCTATTGGATGGCCTGGCAGCTCTTGCCTTCCCTCTGCGGATTTTTCAAACACATTCTTTAGGGAATACATTACACCGTGGTTCAAAACTGGCTTCTTGTTTGAAGACAGATTGTTGGTTTGCTCCTTCTGTTCAAGTTGAATTGGAATGTTAAGCATTCTTTTAATGATTATGTTGACAGAAATGAAATAAATCTGACTTAAAGTTTACTTCTCTCCATAAGGAGGGATGAAGTTATTTGCATATGCCCAAATCACACTTCCCTGTATTTGATTTAGGTGAGATGATTTAATAGAAATTTTAACCTAAGAATTAAGTTTTCTGATATGTATGTAATCCTAAATATTTAACTCATTTTTTTCCTGCTGAATTAAAATTCCATTCAGAAAAAAGTCATACTCTATAAAAACCCAATTTCCCTAATTTATCTTATAGTTCAGTAAAGTTGTCAGATCTAAAAGTCCAAGAATATTACTGTTTCTAGATCTTTAACAGATAATCTATAATCTACATATACCATCTTTTTAAACATCAAAATTATTTACTGGAATTTTGCTGCTTTGAAGTAAAATTACATATGAAGGGTTTAGAGTCAGAAAAACACGAAAGGAATCAAATACATTATTTTGTACCTTAGTTATTGAAAGCGTTTGAAGTAAATTAAATCTCAAAAATCTGCATACAGCACATGCATACCAAACTGACATATCAGAATACATATCAAACTGATTTCTCAAAAGAATAATGGTTTAGATGAGTAATCCCGCCAACCCTATCATATACTTTTTGCATCTAGTAAGTTAATTAAAAGATTCATAATTCCTAATATTTATATTAGAAAATAATATTCAAAGATTTGCTGTCTTCCTTTGTCTCATTTGCTGCCCATATCTCAAGAACCTAAATTCCTTAGTATCATAGCAAATATCTCTCAAGTCTCCTTTTAAACTGCTTTATTGGATATTAATGCATTCAGAAGAGAAGCTGCTCATCATACAAGATGTATCCTAACTTTTTCATAAAGTGCCTATAAAGTTTCTTCTAGCCAGGATCAAAGCAAAGCCCTTTGAAATTATTTACAGTCCCCAGTGCTTTTGGAAGTGGGATGGGCTGGATTTTTTGTTTGGATTTTATGTCCATTGGTAGAATAGTTATTTAGATTGGATTTGAGGAAGTACCAAGCACATCCATTTCCCTTGTCCTCCTCTGGAATACAAATGCCTCTATTATCAGCTTTCACCACGAATTGTCAGATCACTTTAAGGAGAGCCCAGAGATTTTAACTTAGTTCTTTGGGTCATGCCACAGAGCTTTTGGGTCAGGCTACATGAAATAAAGGATGGGCCTGCTGACTCCCAGTCTGTGTTCCAGTTGGCAACGTACAATGAGACCAACTCCCAGTTCCCTCCCAACCCCACTACCCTGCCTTGTTTGACTTCCTTTCCATCTTGTCCATCTTTTTTCCCTGTACGGATGTAGAAGTTTCTTTCTCCATTTGCCCTGGTAATCCTGTACCAACTGATCTCCCTCAGATCTATTCTTCTCCCTTACTATTCACTCTCCTCTGGCTCTTTTCCTTACCATAGAGAACAACTTTGATCTGTCCTAT